TGCAGCAATGTTCGGAGTTATCGTGCGTTGATTACCACTTGCAAAAAAAAAGAACCTTTTCAGTGATGGTGAGTGTAAATCGCATGAAGCAATAAGTGTCTCCTCCGATTAAATGAGAATTTGGCAACAATCATTTAACTTGGAGGCCCCGAGCTTATGGTGGAAATTCCACATTCTTGTGGTAGGTGCCAGTTTATCCATAGGGCAGTCACTGTTGAGCTCCCACTAACAAGTGATGGTCATCTAATGTGTGTCGTTTTTGTTTTACTTGTGAAAGTGGTTAGTACAAAAACAACACATGCCAGTAAAAAGGTGTCTAAATGACAATATGTTTGTATAGAACATGGTACAGCAAGTAGGTTCTGAACAAAATACATCCATGATGACTTTCCCACGAAGTGGTACAACTTTTATCCACCCAGAGTGATGATGTGTTGGCTGTCAAAATTCAGAGCATATACTTGATCACACAGGCGTGAGGTGGTGCTCATCTCCGCTCGTGATGAAAATTTCACATTCTTATGATGAAGCCAGTATCTTTATAGGACAGCTATTGTTGACTTCCCACGAAGCGGTACCATTTTAATGACCCCAGAGGGATGATGATGATGATGATTGACCAACCTGAAACCCTACCAGCATAACACACACACGTTTGAGTCAAGTGCTCTACCTCAACCCCTGCAATATAAAATTTTAAACACGGCATTCTGGGAAATCACCAGATAACTACACCACCTGGAATGCACCCAACCTTATCCAATCTCACGAGCTACGCAGATTTGAGCCTGGACAATGCTTGAATGGAAGACCACGCGGCACAAACAGGTTGCTTATGGCTGCATGGCTGTGTTGTGTGCAGCGGGGAACAATGCAGAACAATCCATTGTTGTACTGTGCTATACACCGACATCTATACTCACCAACGTCAACAACCAGCACTGACCAACATGGTGAAGTATGGTCAAATAAGCCCTATGACCCACTCTCTAATGTATTTGATTTTTCACTACCGGAACTTATTTTAGTATTGTTTCCTTATAAAATGTTACGTACATAAATAGAGCCGCTGAAGGAATTCAAAGTCTGTATATTCCAGACAATGGGTCCAGACATTCAGATGACAGAGAACTTCTTCCCAAAAACAACTCGAATGCCAGACCACCACAGGCCGAGGCCAAATCCAAGCACGAGGACATCAGAGGCCATTGCACAGACTGGGTGGGGACTGTGGTGGCCCATCTACCACGCAGCCCAGCTCTGTTGCCCTCGCATTGCTATATGCTCGGCCCTTTTCAGGGAAGGCTCACATTGGCCACATTTTCGACAACGATGTGGCCGTCCATACAAAGTGGTCGCCCCACACGTGGCCACACGACACACTAGTGGATCTCTTCAACGCGACGGAAATGCTGTCCCCTGGTGTCTATGGTGGCGCGAGCGCATAAGAAAAGAATGGGGCCCCCCATTGGAAAACGACCACGGTAATTACCGAGAATTAACATTTATAATTCCGAATCAGCCCCGAACGGAAAAGTCAGAGAAGAATGCGAAACGTTACTCTGGAGCCATCCCTCACACTTTCTTTTATCTCTCCCGCTTCAATTTATTTTGCGTCCGAGAGATTTTCTTATTGCCAGAGGACGGAGCGAGTCAATTATGGAACGCCGGGCACACGTAACGTGTTTTAATCCTTGAATCGAGTCCAGGCGTGCAGACTCGGGCACCGCTATGAGCACACGTGGCCGCGTCTACGCCCCATTAAGGGCCGTGTCACACCATTACCTCCGCCAAGACATCATTAGCCTCCTCCACAGAGAGAACGTAGGCAGGCATACACATGTACGCACAGAGGTGTACACACAGAGTGGCATATGCACACACAATTGCAGAGACGAAGACATCCCCCACCCTATAACTTTACCAGACTGTCGGGGCAAGTGCTGTTAATGAGCACCTATTACGGCCAGCACAGCACAAGATAGGGTGAGTGGCCAAGCACCATGCCCAGCCACCTTTATCTCCCCACTGGTGATGTTTAAACACCTAGGGGAGGCCCAGGACCGGTTCAGATAATCGTCACTGGTGTTGGCCGTGAGCGGGAATCGAACTAGGGTCGCTGGGTTCACAGCGCAGCACGCTAACCACTACGCTACTGCTCCCCACACTCCCCATTCACACACACACACTGAAGCGAAACACACGCATGTACATACACACAGATGCACATAGAGACATGCTTGTGAACATACGCTTGCACGCACAAAAACACACACACGTGCACACAGGCAAGCATGCATCCACGTTTGGAGAGAAACATACATGTACACACTCGTACACCCAAACACAGAGTTCAATTTCTACTGTGGTCTGCGCAGTGGCCAAGAGTTGGCTGTACAGGAAGTGGCTTCATGAGCCATTCTGCGAAGACCTTTGAGTGCTGTCCCCTCCATTGAATTGTGTTTCGTCTGGACACTGCAGTTTTCTCCCACATGCAAGTGACTCCGTAAGGAAAGTTTGGCCAAATATCTCAACGGGGGAACTGCTGGAATAATAGTCTTGAGACTCGGTAAATAATGCCTAGAAAGATGACATTCGAATAACGTTACTTGGTGGTCTTCTACAAACCACTCCCTGCTCACCTACAAACTGTCTCTGTGAGCTTCACCATTTAAACCGAAGATTCCTAGATGTGTCATAATCTGGCTCAATGAGCCACGAGCATTATCGCTGAAAACTCATAATATCAGTTTAACACGTAGCAGGCTTTCGCGACCATTATCACCCATAATAGAGGCTTTTTTGGGTTAGATCGCGTAAATATATAAATGTGTCGTTAAACCCGATACCACCCGACACAGCCAACTAGTAAGGTTTGTCACGAAAACAGAACGTGGCCAATTCGTCACTAGTACAGCACACGGTTGTGTTGGAGAGCCAAGCCACAACATTTACAATCTGAGTACAACGTTTGGCCAGTAATTACAACTAGCTTAATCAGGCGACAGCAAGATTTGTGGAGAAGTCTTACTGTTTAGTTCCTCATATAGAGGCGTAGATGTGGTGACCACGCTTCTGCGCTCTTGAGCAAAGTGGGGGGGGGATTAATGAGTCAACGTACATTATGCATTAGGCATGCGCATTATGCGATCCCTTTGATATTGTCCTTTCTGCCTCTTGTGTTAATTAAAATAGCGGTACCAACGGTAATCCCCATTGAAGTACGGTGGCCTGTATAGGCATGCATAAAAAATGTATTATTTGATGATTTGTTTCCAAGTAGCACTAAGGCGGTAGCTATTCGAACGGTTAAATTATTTTTTATTTCTTTCAATTTTGATAGATTCTTTAATTAGTCTTGGCCTGTCGTAGCTAGTTTTGCACAGAACTTCAACATCAAAATCAATTGAGTGTCCTTGTTGGCACGCGTGTTCTGCTACTGCTGACAGTTGTATTTTGGAGTATTTAATATTTATTTGGTGTTCTTTTAGTCTCGTGCTGATCAAAGGGCTCGCATAATGCACATGCATAATGTACGTTGACTCATTAATCCCACACCCCCCTCCCCACTGTGTGCAAGAGCGCAGAAGCGTGGTCACCACATCTACGCCTCTATATGAGAAACGAAACAGTTAGACTTCTCCACAAATCTGGCTGTCGCCCGATGAAGCTAGTTGTAATTACTGGCGAAACGTCGTAGTCAGATTATAAATGTTGTGGCTTGGCTCTCCAACACACCGGTGTGCTGTATGAGTACACTACACTATACACTACTATATACTACACTATACACTACTATACACTACACTATACACTACACTACTATACACTACACTATACACTACACACTAGTGCTGTACTAGTGACGAATTGGCCACGTTCTGTTGACGTGACAACCCTTACTAGTTGGCTGTGTCGGGTGGTGGCGGGTTTAACGACACATTTAGATATTTACGCGATCTAACCCAAAAAAAATCACTCAGAATTTCGCGGGAGCTCCAGTCAATTTTAGATAAAACACACCATTGAGAAGAGAGTGCCCATAACCCTAATATTTTGGGGACTTATCTGAATAAAAGGTCATGATTATCAAGAGTGAGTCAGTGCACAAGACTATAATTTGATTGATTTACATGGCTGCTGTGGGCACTGCTTAATAAATAATCACAAAACTTACAACCTTTTTTGACTCCACCAATGAAGGAAGACCTCGTACCAAATCAGCCATGGGAGTTGTTTTATCAGACTTCACCAAGCTGGTCGGTCTGGGATTATGAAGGAGGTTATGCAGCACCAGTTCAGACATCACTTGCCACTGATGTTGGCCATGGTCAGGAATCGAACTCAGGTCGTCAGGCTCAAAGCGCAGTGTGCTAACTACTGCACCAACACTCTACCAATACTGTTGTTTTATCAGTAGCACGATGGTCAGTTTCTGAAATGTAATCGTGAAAATTTTACATTTTTATATTTATTATAAAAATGATGTCTGCTGTGCATAGTGATGCCACTACATTGCTAATGCTGTTGACTGGCGAAAGATGAAGTTCAATTCTGATTATTAATACTGTAGTGCAGCTGTTGCAATAGAGTAAAAATACTCTTCTCCGTTTGAGAAGAGACATTGAGTCGTTTACATCTGAATTAACTCAACAATGTATTAACTTGCCAAAGAGGGATTCAAAATAAGTACGGGTTAGAGGGTGCGTCCACAGGTTAGAGACACCATCGGGAAAACTGACAATTAGAGCAAGTGGGAAGTTGGAATTAGCAGAACACATCGCTAGAAGGGGATGATGGACAATTAGGTTGAGGGGATCCGCCTGAGAGTACCTCCACCACGAAGAAGGAACCAGGAAATCAACTCGTGTGAAAATCCGAAACGGATTGTTACATTGCGACACTGTGGGGGGAAGGCGATGGCTTGAATAGATCGGCCTTCGTCCATCAGTGGATGGACCGCCGTTGCCGCTACCGCCGACGACGACGAACCAACTTACCTGCTCGTGGTACTCGATGGCCATGCTGACGGTGTTGATGAGGATGGCCACCATGATGCCGCGGTTGAAGTACTTGCTGTTGACGATCCAGCTGAAGCGCTCGCTCACGGTGTGGCAGAAGCGCGCCATCCCGGCGACACACGGCCGCTCCTTCCAGCGCCGCAGCCACCCGCGCTTCCCCGTCCCGTCGCGTCCCCCGTCCTCCCCGTCGCCGTCGTCGCGTTCATCTCCGTCGCTGTCGTCGTCGCCGCCATCGTCTCCGTCGTCTCCGTCGTCGTCGTCGCAATCGCTGCCGTCGCCGGAGCCCGAGTCGGAGCAGGAGCCGGAGCCAGAGCCGGAGCCGGCTTGGCGGTCACGGCAGTGCCGCCTGCAGCGGCAGACGGAGCAGACGGCCTCCCCGGGCCCGAAGCCATCGCGGGCGCTGGAGGGGGACTCGCGCCCGGACGCGGCGGAGCCCTCCGAGACCGAGTCGCCGCCGCCGCAGCCTCCTCCGCCTCCTCCGCCTCCTCCGCCTCCTCCGCCTCCTCCGCCTCCTCCGCCTCCTCCGCCTCCTCCTCCTCCTCGCCTGCACGACGACGGCTCGTCCTGTCCCGCGGCGCACAGGGCGCACCCTTCGCCTGCCGCGGCCGGCAGGAGGTCGGGTTGCGGGACGCCCAGGGGGACGCTGGGGAACGCCGGGCAGCGGCACAGCAGCTCGCTCGTGCCCGCTGTCGGGAGGGCGGACACACACGGCGGCATGGCTTGACGCGGCGCCGCCTGGATTCGTGTCGCGTACGAACGTTGTCACTCTGGGCCGAGTCGTGCCCCGATCGGGTTTTCAGATGTGATAACGATACGTCCCATTCGCTCAAATATATTATACTGGTATCCAGCGGTGGGCTTCTGCCGTTTTTTTCTCAGTTTGAGCGTCACATTCCACAAGGGTTGAATTACTTGGTTCGCTGGTGATGGGAAGTGTGTGTTTGTTAATTGCTAATAGGGGACTTAAGTGATTTAGAATGCTCGGTTGATCCTGGCTTCCATAAGTGACCCAAACAAGCTTTGCGTCGTAATTTCTCGCGTCCCAAATATGAAAATTGTCAGTTTTCCGGTGTTTTTTTTTTTTACTCACAAGCCTGGACTCGCGCACGTTTTTGCATTATTTCACCTTGGCATCCCCTCGAGAACGTTCCGGTAGTTCGCACCAGTCGTGCGTTCGGGCACGCTCGGCGCACTCTCCTATGCCCCCCTCCTCCCCTTGTGGAATTGCCACAGCCCAAAACGTTTGCTCATTACAACGCGACGCCGTTCAGTTCCAGGTCGGTTTCATTATTAATGATGCCAATAATAAAGAACTGTCAGCACCGTGTGCGAGTGTCCGGTGCGAACTGCTGACTGCGTAGATTCCTGGAGAGAGAGAGAGAGAGTGGAGGTCTTCATTTCGCTCAAGGCAGGAATCTAAATCACCGCGCGATGTTTCCCACTCAACGTAAAAGAAAAAAAAATCCCTCATCGAAGCCCTTGTTTTAATTACGCGGGCACAGCCTCAATGATGTTATGCCATCCCAGCAATATAAAGGAACACGGGCTTTTAAATAATGAGGAGATTTTGAAAAATGCTCCCTTTGTAACAATCCATCAAGTAGTCACGTGGGCTTATTAAAAAATATATTTTAGTTTCCCCAAGGAGAATCGTTACCAGAGGTGATCGAAAGTTGCCGTCCTAACCGAGAGAGCAAGGAGCGACCTTGATGAAGTGGTATTCCTCTACACAGTTCCCTCTTTAAGTGCAATGCACTCGCTCCGTGAGCCTTGATGTCTCAACGTTTTAATCACCACCCGGAACAGACAGTCTCCCTCGTCAAACCACTCCCAACCGCGGCGACGTGCGGAAGGAATTGGAAGCCACGTCTGGTGAGTGTGGGTTGTCTTCAGATTTCAATGGACGTTGTCTCAAACATTTATCAAGATTTTTCTGCATGGAGGATTTATTAGAAGTACCCAATATCTGTTCATGAGCAAACCAGATGGTTTCACGCAAAATGTTAACAATGACGATGATAATTCGATACCATTCAATGTGAATTCAATCTTTGCTGTCACGCCATTCCCTCTATGTCAGGCCAGCCACGCAGTTTTTAATCGCCCCCTGACACAAAAAATCAAGAACATTGTCTCTCATTGCCAAAACAAGCCCTGGGGAGTTTTCATCTCCATTCGCAGCCATAACGTTGGAGGGGTGGAATATTCCACATTCGCATGGGAAGAGCCAGGATCCCATTTAAATGGCCACTAGATTTATCTGAAGCTCCTTCTGAATGTATTTTTATATTGTACTTATGAACTTCGCTGAAATATAAATCAAGAGGTTATCGAGGCTCATGATGTTCATGCCGTCACACCTCCATTATTTCTTCCTGCTTTCTGCAGGAGCCATATTAATATATTTATGCGGGCTACCACAATGAAATATAGAATAATAGGGTGTAAGAGAGTGCATTTTTCATGCCGTGCTCTGAAATATGTTTGGGAGACTTTTGCTCATGCCCGTGTTACCTACACAGGGCCGGGACTGCTTTGATTGTGCGTTCAATTCCGGCCAGCCTCCAGAGAATAAATCAGCTTCTCAAGAAGAAAGATGGCCATGAGAATCTAGTGGGATGAACATTTGAATGTTATCCCTAACAACGTGTATTGCGGTTTCTCCAAGTATTCTGCTTTCCTCGTGCTTGACTAGGAATTGATCAAACTGTCCCAAAGCAGTACCCCCCTGAAGAATAGTCCTGAGACTCCGAGACTATTCTGGGTAAATAAGCCCATTACTAAATTATAAAAGTTATTTTAAGAGACTCAGCCAGCTCACCAATAACTGCACACAAACTAAGTTGTCACGTGAGTATTGATCCTCTCAGGCAAAATGTTGAGTGTTGCTAATCTCCATTGGCGTTCCTGAATCACGTTTCAATGGTTGAGGAGCAGTTCGTCTACATAACCAAGCACTTTTCGAATTTCCCAAAAAAGGTGCTCGTTTTGATCATCCCCATGAAGATGGATGGGCTGTGCCGAATGGCAACCGTTTATGCTGGATGCAATTACCAGCGAAACGTCGTACTCAAATGGTAAATGTTGTGGTTTCACGCTTCAACACACCGGTGGGCTAAAGCAGTGAACTATTTGTCTTTTGTCAACGTGACACTTTTTTACTGATTGGCCGTGTCGGGTGGTGGAGGGTTACGACACATTTATAAATAACGCGATCTAAACCCAAAAACGTTGATTATGAATAATATTGGTCGCGAAAGCCTACAAGTTAAACCGTTTATTTTAATTCGCGTTCTCTGCCACAGCAGCACTTGGCTGCGTGAAGCGGAATACTGCAGAACAGCTTCTGAGATCACTGCAAATTAGGTGCAGAGCCCACATGTTTATTTCGGTTCTTTTTGTATCGTCATCTGTACCGTAACCACAATAAAGTTGTTTTGGGTTAGATCGCGCAAATATAAATGTGTCGTTAAACCCGCCACCACCCGACATGGATAATTAGCAAGGTTGGTCATGTAAACAAAACCTGCCAACTAGTTACTAGTTCAGCACTAACCGGTGTATTTGAGAGTAAACCCGCAACAACATTTACAATGCGAGTACGACGTTTCGCTGTGCTCCGACCTCCGAGCCATCGGGGCCACCATTTGAGTGTCAGATTCGATGTCAATCGATCAATCTGCAACAGTGGTCATCCTATGGATGCACTGGCCATTGCCATAGGACTGTGGAATTTGCACCAGCGACTCATGGCTGACAACAGAGATGTGTGCCACCCCATGCTTGTTTGAGCAGCAAGCAGGCACTTTGGTCTTGATTTTGAGTCATATCAGATCTGTGCCGATTTTTTTGTACAATGTTGACTGGACTCAATAAAACTCACTGCTCGGGCAAACCCAGCGCTTTACAACAAGACCCAGAAATCGAACTCAGGTCCTCAGAGTGCTGGCCCAGTGCTTTGGTTGCATTTGTTAGTCCACTGCGGCAAGGAGGTAATGTTCCTAATCACCATTAAAGAAATAAAATACACTTAGACGTATTTTACAATTATAATAAAAAAACAGAACTGCTACATAAAAGCCGCGTGCGGAGCAATCAAATTCAGCACCGGAAGATGTCAGCAATTTCAATTAATTTTTGATCCTTTTGGGACCTACTTTAACGGCGAACATACATCATTGAAGCACAATGGCAAAGGTAAGCAGTGAATTTCGTGGCATTCTTTTATTAGCCACATTAATTGCAGGTAAAGTGCATTAGTTTACTGGCCTCAGCTCAGCGCACAAACAGCACTGGTGGCTGTCAGCCAGGACGTCGTGAATTTCTGAAATGAAAGTTCGCTGGAAGTTGTTTCGCTATAATTAATACAGTGCACAAGCTAAATAATACATGTTTACTGCCATACCTCGACCATCGTTGTACCTCGTGTATACAATTCGTAAACCTAACTGTAGCATTCACAATCAATTTGCATAAGGGGTAGTCCATTTCTTTTTCACCCGCAATTCAATGAACGGGAGCATTCGAATCGATTGTAATCAATGATTCTCTGCATTGTTACATGCCTGGTGATTAACCAATCCCCACGTGGATTTAGTTCCTTATTACGTTTGTTTATCCAGGAGAGCCTGAGTCTTCACCCTTTTTACAGAGGATCCTCCCAATTTTCATAGTAGGTGGGGGGGGGGGGATGCTGCTCGGTGCAATGCCAATTAGGTAATACGCAGGTAAATATTCAGCACCGCAATAAATGACCGATGCAAATGATATAAATAAATCATGTCTAATGGGAGTAAGCCAGAAAACCCAGAGGAAAGACATGCAGAAAATGGGCAGAATGTACAAAATCAACACAGGAAGGCTGGTTCGGAATCGAACCCAGACACTTATTGCTGCGAGGCACAAGTATTAGCACGGCGCCACTCTGCCGCCCTTTGCCAAAGCAGATTTGAAACAGAAATAAAAACGATGCGAGTAAATATCTGTACACTCCACGTAGTTTGCGGCTCCACGTTTGAGATCGCAGTCACACGCGAGACTGGGTCCAGTTAAGTTCGAACATTTGATGATTATCAGACCGCCGCGATGACGAATCCGGCAAATGGCACAATTACACAAAGACACGCTGCAGACACGCGGCCAAAATCTCACTCTCGCTTAATAGGGCGGCCAGTTCTTGCCGATCCCGCGGCACAGAAAAAAACACACAGCACTCTCAATCTATAATGCACCCTCCAACCACCCACTGGTGCATGACACTTGATTGCTGCATTGATTGAAAGGGCCGGGCTAAAATTGGATGCACCTCCAGCCAAACCTCATATAAATAAAACAGCGAGTCGAGCAAGCCAGTCTGTTAAGTGAGGGGCGCCCATTGAAATTTAATGCACGGTTGCATTAAAGTTGGATTTTTACAATTTCACGGCATGCTTTCAACTAATGTGGCTTTGCATATTAAAATTGTTAATTGCATATAAAAGATGATAAAAAATATCATTGAGTGTGGGTGGGTGTGTGTACATTCCATCCTGAATTTCAAGACGGCTACATTGTGTGAGGATATCGCAGATCCTTCAAAGATCTGGACACAGTCCCATCAGTGAACTCCTACAGCAGGCGGGGCTGTGTCGGCTGGGGCATTGTAGCCTGCATGCCCAGCCACCGCGTGCCCAAGCAGTGTCTGTTTGGCCAGACAGAGGGGGCTAAACGGGCACAGCATGGGCTACAGAAGAAACGGGCTGAGTTTGTGAACTTTCCACAACCACTGGTACCAGCAGCAGCAAGATCGGCCTCTGTGGAGGAAGTTCATGAAGGACGTTGTTACTGGGCAGTCGGAGGCATTTGCCCTCCAGCAACAACGGAGGGCAGAGGTGCGACGCTCACAACAATGAGCAGAGCGCCAGGCAGATAAAATGCAGCAAGTTGTCACAGTGGGTAGGAATCATCTGGAGAACGACTTGTGAAATTTAACGAGCCAAAATTGTTCAAAATTCATCTTCTTGGTTTCCCTTCTACGTGACTTTACCGAAAGAACCAAGAAGATGAATCCCTGCAGTCACGAAAGCTTTACATCGAAATTGTTCAAAATTGGTAACAACACAGTAATAACAATGGTTTAAATGATATGAAATATAATTAACTACGATAAAAATGTAACTTCAAAAAATACAGAGAAAACTAGAAGGTAAGAAAGGTGTAACAGACAACAATTAGAAGTTAAACCCAAGAGTAAATATATAACAACAAAATAAATAACACGACAACAACACAAACAAGAGGGAGACAATGGGAAAAGAACAAGAGAAGGAGGAACATGGACATAACAAATATAAGGAAGCAATATCAGCAACTAAAACAGAACGAACAAAAACGACCAGAGTGCAGAAACAAGCGATGGTGGACCACAATAACGAGATGCAATAAAAACCAGGCATGAAAAAAGAAACGATGAAAAACAGGGAACAAAAAGAGACAGACAAAACAACAACAAAAAGATAAATAACCACGAGAAACATTGTGATGAGAGATGATGAAAAATGATGGGGTGGGGAGGGGGGAATGTCCCGTGCCATACGCTGCGTGAAACTCGCTCTCAGCACCACTGAGCATCACACTGAGCGGTGGCTAAATCACCACGCGGTTGCCCCACCCCCCTTTGCCCCAGCCTAACCCCGATTGGCTACCGGTTCACCCAACGTTTACTCGAACCTCCTCAAGACTTTTAAAAACTTTCGAACGAAGCGGGAGAGTCCAACTAGCACCTCCCGCGACGACCCAATCTACGCCGTGTGGGACCGAGTGGTGCTCCCTGGTCGAGCCGCACCGTACCGTAAGCGGCGAAGATGTGGTGCTGCTTGGCGAAGGCGTCCGTGGGGCTCGAGCTGTGTGCCCGCGACTCTCCCCGGCGCGGCCCTCGCGTCTTCCACGTCTTGTTCCCTTTGTCCGGCGCCACCACCACCGCCGACGGCACGATGGTCGGGTAGTTCATCTCGTGCGGCGGCCGAGGCGGCGGGGGCCGTTGGGACACGGCCGACGCGACCACGGCGGAGGCCGCCGCCGCCGCCGTCGCCGCCGTGGCCTCCGAGGTGAGCGGCGAACCCCGGAAGGGCAGCGGGCGTCCCGCCAGCAGGTGGCAGTCGGCGTGGTAGACGCTGTGCACGGACGCCAAGCCCGGCGTGCGTCGCGCACCAAAGTTACCGGACGGCGACGAAAGCGGCGGCGGTGGCAGCGGCGGCACCGGCGCCGGCGGCGACGACACCACCACGACGGCCGTCCGAACGTCCGCCGGCAACACGTCGCGCTCGTTGGGACCGCCGCCGCCGCCGCCACCGCCGCCACGGGGACGGCACATGCACCGCGCGAGCGCCGGCCGGTGCCCGCCACCGCCACCGCCGCCTCCCCCGTTGACGTGGTAGTGGTGGTGATGGTGGTGGTGATGGTGCACGAGGTGGTGGTGGTGCACCGACCTCCAGGACTTGCGCCTCTTGCGGCTGCCCTTCTTCCCCTTGCGGCGGCGTCTCGGGCGCGTGCCCTGCTTGCTGCCGTTCTGGTCGCGCCGCGGACGCCCGCCGGCGGCCGCGGCCGCCGCCGCCGCCGCGGCCGCTGCGGCGGCGGCGGCGTTGGGGTTGATGCGCCGCTGCAGGGCCACGTGAGCGTCGACGAAGGCTCGCGAGGAGCGGCGCCACACCTTGCGCAGCAAGTGCCCCAGGTAGCGCACGAGCTCCTCGTAGCAGCTGCCCGGCTCGCGGAAGCTGGCGAGGGAGCTGTCGCTGCCGTGCATGCGCGCGCGCTGCTCCTCCATCAGCTGGTTCTCGCGCTGTTTCGTCTCGGAGAACTGCGTCGCGATGACCACGAGGCACAGGTTGATCATGAAGAAGGAGCCGATCTGCGGTGCCCGGGACGAAGGGGGAAGAAAGAGGATGGGGGACACCACAGGAGGGGAAAGACGGATGGGGGTAATGTTAAATAAGAACGAAGTTTGAGGGGCAAGGATTCGAGAAGAGAGAAGCAATTGCAAAGCAAATAGAGAAGACTTTACGTATTCAAAAAAGTAGCGTGCCAACGTAAACAATGAATGGATTGCAAAAAAAAGTAAATATCAAATTCGTAAGTCAAATCGAAGTAACAATTTATAATTTAAGTCAGACTTCCCCCCCGCCCCCCAATGAATGGGAAACAATCTCATCTTGGCTTGTTGAGTGGTGGACACTTCCACTGAAGCGCGATAAATCGGGCATACCTTAGCTTGGCTCTGAATATTGACTTGTGTACACGACACCGCGTTAGTAAATAAGCATCTTTCACATTCATTGTGATTGGCATTCTTATTTTTATTCATGACAGTTATGCAAGCATGGTTGCATGACCAGCAACGGCATTGTGGTTGGACTCGAAATTACTGTTCACATGACATCACATTCCAGCACCGTCTTGGTGCTGACAGGGGAGTGAATGGTGTCAACATATTTGTGCTAATTGCAGTAACATCTCCAATTGAGTATTTTATTTACAAATTGCACATGGCATCAGCTTCGCATGCATATCAATCTGAGAAAAAGTCTCGCTTTCATCTTATTCCGAGGTTAGAGTAAAATGCCTTCTGCTTACATGGCATATGTAGGTACAGTGAAACATATAATGCCTATATAATGAACACACATAAAGTCCATATTAAATGCATAGTGAACTGTGTGGAAGCCCATTTTTCAAACACGTCAAATAAATTGCATATTTTCTCCGTCCTCATGTTTTCCCGCAAGAATGTGTTCAAGCAGGCAAACTCTGGTCCAGTTTCAAGATTGATGGTGCGCTCGGTGTAGTATGCTTCTTCTAACAGCTGCTAAAGGAGGGTTTGTTCGATGTTACAGCCTCTGAAAAACCGTGGGGATCAATTGGGTGCCAAAAAGAGCAAAATGTACGCTTTCATCGCACATTTATACCATTAAATATGACCTCTGACATATGCATTATCCGTTACCTTACACCACGACGCGTAATGAGTTTCGTATTATGTCCCCACGTCAAACGGCTCGTTGGTTATCTTCTTGTAGGAGAATTTAAAAAATAAATGAGAAGGCTCAAACGCCAAATGGTTATAATTGACAAGGAAGACGAATGACACGGGTAACCGACGTGAAATATCGGTAGCGGCAAACATTTCCCTCAGGATACGCAACACTCGGCCACTTTAGGAACATCTCGCTCATTATAATGTCCACGGCAATAATCATAATAATAAAACAAAATAAGCAGGGGGAGACTTTTGCAAGGGCGTTTAAACGATGAGTATAATTGACCCCCCCGTGATATTTTAGTGAATCACGCCAGGGTTGGCAACCCTTGCCCTCGATTGAAAGAGCAGCCATGCAATATTCATGAGTGATTATAAAAATAATAAAATATGTACGGGTCTTTGTCAAATCCATCGCAGGATGACCCCCCCCCCCGCCCCGTTGGCCCTCGCCCCCCACACTTTATAAGTTCATGGGGGGGGGGGTGATGTTTCATCATACTTCACCAAACTTGTCAGTGTGGGTTAGGGAAAGGGAAGATTGGGGGGGGGGCAGGTATGACCACTGATGTTAGCCGTGGTCTGGAGATGAATGAAGGTCCCCGGGTTCATAGTGCAGTGCGCTAACCACTGTACAGCTGCTTCACTATTAATATGAATTAATATTAATATTCCATAATTAATATTAACGTGCATTAAGGTCCACAAATAGACGTGTTTTTTGGCTTCATGCCTCCGAATGCACGATGATTTATGGTGCCTCTAATGGGAATCTCTTTTCACTAACCTGGATGCAGATGCGAGTTGAGTTTTCATCTAAATCATAACAATCCCAAGGGAAGTTAGGTGTGTGCTATTGTGGTCTAATCGAAGCACGCTAACATCACTTACACCGATAATTATCTATGAGGCTAAGAGGGGGACGCTTTATCTTGGTGGTTAATAACATGGCAAGGGGTGGAACAGCGACACAGTGGGTAGGAAGTTCCATTAGAGACACCATACAGAATTGCGCAATGAGGCGTCAAGCCACCATCGTGATTTATTTAGTGGGCATTAATAGACTATTAATGTTAAATTATGAATGTAAAAATTACTTGACTAGAATTAATGGAGTGGTCCCAACGTGGAAACGTGCAGTGCACACCGCGCTCCGAATCCAACGATCTGAATTCAAACCGTGGCCTTGGCGTAACAAAGCGTGGCAGTGCCACCTGGTCTGGCCGTGGCCACCCGCACGTTCACCAAACCGGACGGACCCCGGCATGGCGAAGTATGTTCAAACAAGCCTCGCCACCAACAGGGCGTGGGGAGGCTTTCGTCGGCAGTGGCCTGTCCATTCGTTTGTCGAGCAATGTTCATTTACACGGCGGTTTTACTGGTAGGAACCTCCTGGTTACACCAGCCTACAGGGGATTATTGTGTCCGTCTGTCCATCGTGCAGAGAGGGGCTGTGTGGGGAGGGAGGGGCTGGGTGGGGAGGGGAGGGTGGGGAGGGTGGGGAGGGGTTGGGTGGGGAGGGGAGGGTGGGGAGGGTGGGGAGGGGCTGTGTGGGGAGGGAGGGGCTGGGTGGGGAGGGGAGGGTGGGGAGGGTGGGGAGGGGCTGGGTGGGGAGGGTGGCGCTGGGTGGGGGGTGGGGCTGGGTGGAGAGGGCTGGGTGGGGAGGGGCTGGTCACCCCATGGTCCCCTTATAAAACTCAACGTTTAACCTACTCACGCCGGCTTGTGCCCGCCCTCACAGTCGGGCATATTTGCGGAATACACCACGCCGCCGTTGACCCTGGCCATTGACCGAGCAACCCAACGTTCCTACCAGCTCCCTCCGCAGGAATGTGTTCTTGTGACGTGCTCGTCAAGCGTAGTTTGTTAGGCTCCATCCAGGCGGACCCTGGCTCGAGTCCCGAATGGCCGACTCATTTCCAACGTGGGCCTTCTTCTTCGACGCGAGGTTATGGCACTGCATACGTGCAGCCCTTGTCGATCTACCGCTGGACGAGGGACTCTCCCTCACGCCAGCGTGGGTTGTGGGGAATGTCGACCACACTTCGCCACGCTGGTAAATGCGAAGTGGCGAAGGTGCGAGTGCGTATGCTGGGCAGCCAACCGTGCATTATTGGAGGTGCGGGGGAAAGGACAACAAACTGAACACAAAAATCAGTTCAAGGTGCGGAGCATAGACGTGGGGCAAACAGAGTTCCAGTACATGTAATTTATATTTTGCACGAATCCTCTTCCGCACACACCACTTCGCTCCACATAGCCAATGACAACCTGTGTGTGTGCGGTGATCACCCATTCAGGGAATATCCAGGCTCAGAATCCTGCTTAGCTTTTGAAATCTGACGAGATTAGGCACAATACGATGGGCGATGTGGTCCAGCGGTTATGAACATCGGTGATTACTTTGCGGTTATCAACATCAGCGCTGGACTGTATCGGGACGCACATAGAACAAAGCCTGACATCTTATCGGGCACTTCCTGATGAAATAAATAACTGCATTCTATCTTTGAATCTCTCTAGCTCTGGGAGACAAAGGTGAGCCATACTTGCAAGACACTGATCACATGACCTCCTCCATCCCCCCATCGCATTTGTGCCACCACTATCCCCTCAGGTGATTGTTAACAGTACTGGACCTGCCCCTCGGGGATTCCTCTGAGGGGGCGAATACATTCCGTCGATTTTGCACGGCTAGAAAGAGTAGGGGCAGCTCAGGGCGTGGGGGGGGGGGTGTATGGCATCTTCGTTGGCAAGCGGCGTCACTTACGATGATGAGCAGAATGAAGTAGATGAAGTTGTAGAAGGAGTGGGCGTCCATCACGTAATACATGATATCCACCCATCCCTCCAGCGTGATGACCTGCACGAAGCGGGGGGGGGGGGGGGGTCACAGCGATTGGGCAGAGATAACGATGGATAACGGGACGGGAGCCCGCCGAGAAAACAAGCTCCTCGTCGTTTTGTTGTTGCACGGGAAGGCCTGGGCCGACGCGTGGGCAACAGCACATTGTGTTTCATGAGGCGCGTGAACGCAGCGACGAATCTTCGGTCGACTCAAACGGAATCTCACGCTCGCGGTGCATTCGTTCAAATGTTCACGTGAGGCTCCTCCTGTTGGTCACAATCATTGAAGTTCCCTGCGCCTCCGGGTAGCAACGGTTGGCATCGCACGGTGCGAAAGAAGTTCAACATACATAGAGAATCGCACGTTAAATGCTATGGGAATGCTGCCGTGGACAACGGTAAGCGCACTGGACTTGCAATCCGGAGGTCGCTGGTTCGATTCCATCTACCGGCTCGGCGCATCTGTCCAGTTTAAATGGGAACACCGCAGTTGATCGACAGGTCGTGTGTGTGTGGTGCGGTACAGTGTGGGTGATGTCCACCTCTTCCAACGCGTATGGTCAGCGTGAAAGAGTAGACCAAATATCCACTCGAGGTAACTCTGGTGGAAGCCCTCCCAGCAGCAGTGGCATGAAGCAAGCAATTGCAGGGCTGTACCTTTACCTTCATATCGTAATGTTAAATCCAAGTAGGTGAATGGAGGAAGTGAAACTACAAATAAGACATGAAACACAATAAACATTACATTGAAGCTATAAAAACAAGATGGAAATGAACCAAATCTAAAAAGCGAGTCACAACAACTAATCGTGGAAACCACCGAGAGGGTGAATTTTTGGATGCCGAACAATCGCCACCGACAGCGACATCGGCCTTCATGCTCTCTCCACTGCTAGGTGAAGCCATGGCCACGTGCCGACGACGAATGCCTGTTCTTTGGGGTGGTGGTGGTCGCGAGCGAGGGGTTGGTGGGACACCCACCCACGGTGCTGACGAGGACATGTTTGTAGGACGTGGAGGTACAGAAAGTAGGTTTGTGATGAGTCACGTGGCCAAGTGCTGTGAGGCCTGAATCAGGATATCACGTCTCCGAAGTCAACAAAATTTTAAATGACAAATGTTTGAAGCCAAAAGTGGCAATCGTACCGAGACCGGGCCCTGTCATGGGAAGGTGGAAATGCCACTGCTGCCTCATGGTTTTCAATGTACCGACGGGTACCTTCACAACTTGCAGGTTTGAGCGGTGAGCATCATCCCCTCGCTATGCGTGGGTTTCCTTCCAGTAGCAAAGCAAAAAAACCAAACACCTTATGCTAGGGAATTGGCCAACACACAAACAGCGCACGGTGGCCCTTGCGAGTTGGAGTCTTGAGACTTAGTGCCGCTTTGCCGGGTAAATATAGAAGTATTTTAATGTCATGCCCGCCGGTGTTGCGCAGCTGTGATTCATTTCATTGCTGAACTAATGTTGTTATCTTCGCTCCACCTCCCTTTCTGTCACAAAATGGTATTTCTTCAGCCAATCCAGACAGCAGACCCGACACATCCCCCCCGCCCCCCCCGAATTTACAAACAGTAGTAGTCCCCATTGCGAATTGCTGCTCGTCAATCTATGCTCAAGATGGTGAAAACTCCACATTCCTATGGAAAGACCAGTGTATCTATCCACTGGGAGAGAAAAACAAAAGAGTGGGCGTTGTTGACTGTTCACAGAGTGGTGCTCATGTTTTCCTGAAAGGAGATTGTTACGTCACAAATATCTAAAGTTGACCGTGCTGCGGCTATAGAGAGTTCACGGTTCGAAGTTCAAATCCCATTCGTGGGAAAATGCCAGCTCCATAATCTTTCCGGAGTTGACAAAGTGAGTACTGTACAGCTTTACGAAATGCCAAGAGTGATAGTCCTGTGGCGAGATTGGCTCCCGTCATTGGAATGTGGAATTTCCACTGCTGGTCCAGGCTCCCCCAATGGAGATGAATGCCACCCCAACGCTCGTTTGAGCTGGGAGACAGTTTTTAATTCAATGTGTTTGCCGCATAATAACAAGACACCACATTAGTCAACATTCAACCCGTCTCTGCAGGAGCAGAGATACATTATAAAAGCTCACAAGTCGTGATGATAACCTGTACTGAAATGTGGGTTTGCGAAAAAAAAGTTATTTCAAAGTACACTTCTTTCAAAGCGCTTCTTTGTATAATGTCATACAATTTGTATGATGTCATGTTGTACTCTGAATAATGTACGTGGTTGATTCTGCTCTGTTGTGTCACAGAGACAGTTTGGCTCTTTAACCCTTGGGCATTTCCACTAAATCATAAAACAGAACCCCCCGAAAATAGCAAATATGTTCTTTATTTACAACGGACCGCTACGCTGTACAAATTTGTCACTGCTTTGCCACATTTGTATGCACATTGCCCGTTTAAAAAATGAACTTGATAGAAGACTAGAGTTTTTTTTCATTAACTTTTGTGCTATTTAGATATTCTATTGTATTGCATGGATTGCATGACAATTATCCGTGCAACATCAACAACAATCGCCATTCGACACGAAGTGGCGAATGTCGATTGTGCTTGTCCCAGGCTATGTGCACTTTAAGGCCACGTGAAGTGTCGAAACACCAGCTGGCAAAAAGAGATCCAGGTGCCATGGATTGACTGACTGAGATGACTGGCAATTGCACCGCCTGTGCCTCCTACTGTGCTGTGTTTTATCTGCCCGGCGCTCTGCTCTTTGTTGTGCGCATAACACCTGCCACAAGCACCACTTCCTTACCACATCCACTGCCTGCCTCCATCATCACACCCAACTCCCCAAATTCGTCAGCTACAAACCCCAGAATGCAGCCACCAGTCTTCCAGACCACACTTGCAAATGAAACTACACCACCACCATCATACACCTCCTCAAACTGGCTCCCAATCTTGTATGTACTGTACATTGAACTTCTTTCACGCTATACGTAGCCAACCGTGCTAATTGGAGGTGCGGGGGAAGGACACAAAACGAAATGCAAAATAAAAGATCTGCCCCACCAACTTCTCAAGATTTTCCACGGACTTGCCCAAATCTACTACTCACCCTCTCATCTCAAGCTTACACTCTATGCGTGCCCTTCACTCCAGCAGCCGGCCGCGTGTTGAAGCCCCCAAGTCAACCCCCATTTGATGGGAGGTTGCCCCTTTTCCTCTACTGACCTGTCTCCTATCTCTCTCTCTTGCCATCTGCAATGCTGACTCACTCCCCCTCTTCAAGTTCACATACACCGTCTTCTTCTCTACCTAGGACTGCTTTTTCTTTATGGAGTGGCATTATCCAACGTGCCAAAAGGGGAGCGTTTTCAATCGGTGCATATTACCTGCTTGCACTTAACGGATTGGAAATATGGACAGCCACAAATAAATGTAAGAAAAGCTGAAAAGTAGAAAAAAAACATTTGAGATTGGAGAGATGCATTCTGGGAGTTACAAATAAGGACAGAAATAGGAACACGTGGTTCAGAGAACAAATGCTAATTGGAGACACGTGGGCTTGAGTAGAAGACATTAGAATGGGTGATGGCCAAAGGACAAGAACTGATAGTGGCTCTAACTTGGTAGACGATGATGATTATCAACAAATATTCGTTTTAGTTGAGTAATTGAACATTGAAACATTACACTTATTCAAATGAGAGTGTGAATTGTATATTCAGTACGTGAGTCGTTACACACACGCACACACCCATCCAGGGCTGCCCAAATATTTTTTGAAGACCCACGATGAAATGCCAGATGAGACCCCCCGCCCCCCACCGAAACTCCCTCGGCCCTTTCTGAGGCCCCCTTGGATCTGAGACCCGGAGGGGAAAACTGCCCCATCTGCTCCCTTCCCCATGACTCCCACGCCCACCGAAACCCACCCACCTGGAAGATAGCGATCCACGCGTAGCCGATGTTGTCGAAGTTGATGGCACCGCTGTGCGGGTTGCGTAGCCCCGCCCGGCAAACCGTGTACAGCCGGTTCCAGTTGATGCACTCGCCGCTCACGTTGCCGCCCTGGCTGTAAGGGTAGCCGTGGCCAGCCGCCACGGCCTCCCCTAGCGTGGCAAAGGAGAGCCCCGAGCTGTTGGCATCGTACGACAACGACGACGATGATGACGACAGCGAGGACGAAGAGGACTGCGGCGGCGACGACGATCGCAGCGATAACGGCGGTGGCCAGCGGCAGCGGGGCCCGCCGGGCAGCACCGAGGGCGGCACGGTGTCGCACGTCTGCATGCCGTTGTCTCGGGGCAGCGAGCAGATGAAAGGACTCTCGTCGTCGTTGTCCGCCGGGAAGTACGGTGACATGCGGCTGTTGTTCAGCTCGCTGAGAGGGCAGAGACCGGGGGGGGGGGGGGGGGTAGGGGGGAAGAAGAAGGCCAAATAAGTAAGACGCCGCGAACGGGTACTCGGAGTAATCGGCGTCTTGGCGATCCGTAGTCGTCATTGAACGTGTATATTTTAACGCAGTCCATAGATATCACGATTCATCATTGACTTCGGGGTTAAGCCACGTAATGGTCTGGCCACATTTGTACACAGTGACGAGTTTCATTTGTTTGGCTATGTCGGGTGGTCGAGGGTTCTACGAAGTCGATTTGGCCGGAGCATTATGCGGCCGAACCATGGAGAACTCACTGATGAAACACTTGCCGGAGTCATGTTGATTCGAGAAAATTTGTGGGGACGGTCCTAAATTGGGATGTTTTGGTGTCTGGACAGATCCTTTGGATAATTATTTTTGACGTTTTCATATTTTAATTTTTCTCCTAAATGTTATGCATTGATTCTTAGAGATATCATGTTAATGGATGAAGAAACATCAATTTTAATATCGAGCTAGCATCCTGTGTCAGAGACCGTATTGACCTCTTATCCACGCAATGGGCACACATCTTATATGCCCTCTCGAGATTGTTAGTCACATGAAAATCAAACAGATGATTTAAACTTGAATTTAGAAAAATTTTGATGAAAAAAGTTCTTTAAATTGAGTGAAATTCCAAACCACAACAACAAACACTCTCACAAAAATGTGACATTTTGTTGTTGCAGTAATTAGTGACTGAGCTTGGGCCATTAACTCACTGGACCTGAGAACCCAGTTGAATCATGGGTGGCTGTCCAGATTTGAACCCAGGATGTCAGCGATGCCAGCTCAATTCTCTAAATGCCTGAGCCATCCCATCACCTCAATTAAGGAGCATCTCGTGTGTGGGAGGAAATCAGAGTAACAGCAGAAAACCCATCCTCATGAAGTGATAACACTGAGAGGGAGACACAGATGAGTCCTTGAACCCATTTGTGTTGCTATAATTTACCGGCAACCTGGAGTTCAGTGGGTTTGCGACTTTCACAAATCGATGAGTTCAAATCAGGCTTTGGGCAAAACTCGGATCATCATCTCTTTCGGGTTCATCAAATGAGAACCACTGGCGCGGGAAGCCAACAGTGACCATCCTGCGGGGATACTGAACCCCACCATCGAAATGAAGAATTTCAATTTATTTGTGCCTTGCTGATAAGCTCCACTGTTTTGGTTAATTGAGTAGCAAAACTATTTTTTTTTTCCGTTTGTAATACCAAGTCTATTACTGTACTTGTCATGTACCAGCTGGTTGCTTCTAATGGCAATTGGATCAAGAGCCATTCAGACTAATGATCTTCGGGAGCACCCCTTAAGGCCAGCATGGTCCACACATGTAGGTGGTATAACCAACACCATGACCGACTGTCTGACTTCACATTGCCGATGTGAATCACACTCAACGCCAGGTGTTCATTTAAGGTCGAGTCAACCTCATTAAGGCACAAACCAGCTGCAGATACCACTTTCCGCAAGCATTGTCCAGGTGGAGGAATTGCACCTGGGTTGCAAATATTGTAGCATCCTCCCCCCCAACTCTCGTCACTTTGGAAACCCTTATAAGCAGTTGCGTTTGGAGGCTTGAACCTCTTTTCTCTCCGCCGGATGAAGACCGCTTGTGTTGCGATCGAAACGTCGTGGGTTTTTTGCTTTTATTTATTATTTTTATTTTCTATCTACGTGACTTTACCGAAAGAACCAAGTATATGAATATAATGTCGTAGCATCTCACACCAATGGCATTTCTTCCACAACATGCAAATATAAACACGCCATATGACCATGCAAGTCATTGAGATAAGTGTTGTTAGCGAGCACCTATTAAGGCCAGTGCAGCGCATGACAGAGTGATGTAGCCAGCACCATGCCCGGCCGCCTTTTTCTCCCCAAGTACTGATAATTCCCCACCACACGAAGTACTTATTTAAGGCTGAGCAGACCTAGGGTAAGCCCGAAACATTCTGATAAGACTTCCTGCCACTGATATTCACTGTGGTCAGGTTTTAAACTCAGGTGGCAGGGTTTGCAGCGCAGTGCGCTTACCACCAAGCCAACAATGCGCACGCACACACACACACGGAATAAACGCATACAAACTACGAATGCCAATATATGACAGGAGAGTGACTCCCCTGAAGGGCAGGAGGCTGGGAACGGGTTGCGCTGCCAGTCAGAAATCTCTGCCATCTGCTGTCCACTACCGCTGCTGTCCATCTCACCGAGGGCAACTCCCCAGTATTCATCTCTTTTGGCAGCGAGTGTTTGAAAAACGCAGCTGCTTCGAGCGCCGCAGGCATTCGTTGGTGGCAGGCGGGGGGCCTCGGCGAGACCCCGTGAACAAACCTCCCCATCATGTTTGGTGCTGACGATGCAGTGACGAAGGGAATCGGTTGTGCGACGTGCATAAGCGACGGAGAAGGGGAGGGCGCAGTGGGGCGCGCACTCTCGCTACAAACCCTGCGAGCCGAGTTTGACTCCTCCTATTGGCCAACGTCCGTGATGAATATCTCAACTGGGCCGCCACAATGCTGACTCAGCTATTATTGAGTACTGTTATATGGTGCAGTGTGTCAACATCAGCAAGGGATGGCCGAATGTGATATTGGCGAAGCACCTGTTTTCGTGTGCTCTGCCACCAGTGAAAGGGGCATGCTAACAACACTGCCTGGACATCTGTGGAAAAAAAAGGTTTATACTCTCTGGTTATTTTGGTAAAGTCACGTAGATAAAAATAATAATAACAGAAAACACGACGTTTCGGTCGCAACACAAGCGGCCGTCTTCAGGTGAGAAAAACGCATCTACTCTTGTGGCTTTATATAGGCACGGGGGGTAGGGAGGGAGGCTTTATAGCTCATCGGATTCCTCCAGTACAAATAAATATTCTGATTCTGAATACTTGCCCCAATAGTCTACGTATATATACGGGGGGTGTTTATTGTTTGTGCGTGTTGCAGTGGTTAGCGCATCATGCCACAAAGCTAAAGTTTGCAAAAAGATGTCTGCGTATCCGAGTGCAAACTTCTTTCTACGCATACGGAAATGAAAGAGCAATGAAAAATGACAACTTTGTTATCTCAATGAGACCGGAATGACTGTTGGGAGTTAGAGAACAATGACATTGGTTGACCCTGGATCTTCGAAGAAAATCAATGTGTGTATGATAATGCATTACGTTAATCAGCTTCAATGAATTGAATAAGCAAGTTGCGAGTTCAAATCCTGATTGGCGGTTGACTCAGCCCATCATCTCCTCTGGGGTCGATACAATGATGACCACATTGTGTGGAAGTCAACAGTGGTTGTCCTATGGATAGACTTGTCCCAATCATAGGAATGAAGAATTTCCACCCCTGGCTCTGGCTGTAAACAGGAGATGAGCACTGCCTCAAGTAGAGCCCAGAATTAAAATGCTTAAAATATCAGTACCGCCACCCAACTTTGGAAGTTTTAATTCCACCTCTGCTCATTGCATACGTTTCTATGTAGGGTTGAATCGCATGGTAAATTTGAGGCTTATTGTCCTGGCGTATTGTTCTGGCTGTCCTAGTTTGTTTAGGTTTGTATTCCTTGAACTACTTTGTCCTCAGGACAAACAAATTGTGCCATCTGGGATGAGGTTATTGACAGTAACTGAGAATAAGGACATTGATGTTCAGAGATAAATGTGTTGATAGCATAAAAAAAACTAAGCGTCCATAAATGTGATAAATGTCACGTTTTCAAAACGATTTTGAGCACCCGTGTAACTGTGCACCATCGTTATTGAATGATGGGCGATTATAAGTTTTGTTCACGGGTCAATAAGGCATTAAAGCAAGCAGATGAAAAACCTGACAAGTTTGAACGGAAATGTTACATTCAAATGGCACTTCGTACCGTTGCTGGTGGCCAGCTCTGAGTGGTGGCGCATTGGTTAGTGCACTGCATTGTGACTCCAGCAACCTGAGATCGTTTCCTGACCACGGTTAACATCTCTGTTGGTCAGTGGAATTTGTTTCTGCCAAAGAAGATCTCTCCACAATGGGGCACCTATCAGTTGTTCATTATTTATCCACTGAGGTTCATTGCAAAAAACTCATTTATTTGCTATTGTTGGCTCTGTGAACCAGTGGATAAAATGTAATTCCACATTACCATACCAGGGACCGGTCTTAATAAACAACGACCACTGTTGACTTCCCAAAGTGGTAGTAGTTTCATTTTAGTCTCAACGAAGAGATGATGGGCTGAGTTGACGTCAGACTCGGAAGAGAATGCTCAGCCTTTGAATCAGGTTACAGCTTTGGGCAATTGCTATCTGCATCTGGCCACGGTCTCCTCTTGGTAGATTTAGCGTAAAATTAGTTATGTGTCAACTTAATAACGAGTATGCTGCCTGGTATGGTAATATTAAGATGTTCAATTAAATTACTTTCAACGATGATCATTGGGGTTTGTTTGTTAGCAATCATCATTAATGTAATTTCTATGGTACCCGAATCTACCTTTTGCAAAACGTTCAGCTTTTTGTGTTAAGGAAAGGAAAATGTCCGCATTTCTCTGCAGGTCATGATGCTGTACTTTATTTGCAATTGAAGAAGAAAGCGTGGCCTTAAGATAGAATGAGTGCCCAGGATGTTAGCAGTTCTATTCCAGGATACGAACTTGGAGGTCTGGAATCGAAAATGAGATGAAAGAATTGTAATTTGAATCGATAATAGGTGTTGATTGGTGGGCCAAGTATACAGGAGGGAGGAGGGCAGGTTGCCCAGAAGGGAATTCGAGTCGTGGCCCAACTGTCGACAAGGCTGGAGCAGCGGAGGAAAAAATGCGTCGTCGGCTGAATCGCCAACAGTGGCAGTGTCTAAAAAAATCAAATAGCGTAGCCTGACAGTAGTGGCACCACTCAAATTAAATTGAATGGAAACCCAAGCGTGATTCAATAGCAGCCCAAAAAGTTTACACGACCTCTGTGACAC